GGGGGGGGTCGAAGGATTTTTTAGCTGCATATAAGTGACAGAATAATGGTGTGGTTGGGTGGGAGAATTGGAGAAAGGCCAGACAAACTCGATTTTGATTGCGGGAGCTAGGGAGTGTTCCCCAAAACAATTTGAATCTAGAGGCTTTTAAGTTCTGAAAACATGTAACCGGAAATCATGGATATTCAATATATAACAACCTTAAATTTGCATTCGAGGTCGGAAAGAATATTAGGTTCCTCCGCTCTAATCTCTTTTGGGGAGCTTCGCTCCCCCCCCCCCCCCCCCCCAATTTTACGTTCTTTCCACTACCGCAGCACGTAAGTGATCTGTGAGGAAAATAGGAGGGTCTGGAGTTCTCCCCAGAAAACGTTTATATTTTTAATGCTCAATGACAGCATTTCTGGAATTTTCTGGGGCATCCACAAGAGTAACGAGTAAATGAGAAGATTGTTTTAATTAAGGCTATTTTTGTTAGTTTGGTGACTGCACATTTGTATTTTAAGAACTGCATAAATGGGTTTAGAACTGCACATTTTGTATAGAGCTGCACGTTAAAATAAACCCTGAAACTTAAAGTAGCATGGGACTGAAAAGGCTGAAAGTTAAAAGTATAGCGATAGATTGAAACATTTTAAGAGAACAAATTAATTCGCTCTATATATATATTAATTCGCTCTATATAGATTCTCTCTCTATATATATATATATATATTGGGTGTCCATTAGCAATAATGCAAAGCTCACTTCCCTCGTGGTTGTTTGAGCACTCCGGCCCCATGTCACTCTGCGGATATCTGGATGCGTATAGATGGCCCGTGTTGTACCACATGCGCTTGGGAGAGCAAGTGTCATGTATATCAATACGAAAGTCATTATCAATACCAAGCTGCACTAATGAGGCGTAGGACGCCGAAACATGTATGTCTGCAGATTGTACTATATATATATATATATATATATATATATATATATATATATATATATATATATATATATATATATATATATATATATATATATATATATATATATATATATATATATATATATATATATATATATATATATATATATATATATTAGATACAAAAACTAAATTTTCGGCTGCATGTCACAGCCTTCTTAAAACGTTTTAAGAAGGCTGTGACATGCAGCCGAAAATTTAGTTTTTGTATCTAATATACCTTTTTTTAATAAACTTCTTCAAACGTAGCCGTTCTGTTTGTTACATATGAAGTCTTGTCGGCTGAGCAAAGTATTGGCATTTGTCATATATATATATATATATATATATATATATATATATATATATATATATATATATATATATATATATATATATATATATATATATATATATATATATATATATATATATATATATATATAATATTTTAATACAACAATGAATAAGTTGCTACTTTAAGTTTCATGCAACAAGCAATCATCAGGCAACATATTAATACGGTTAAGTTGTTGCGTTTTACTACTCGCAATGTTTGCTGACGCGTGTTCGTTTGAATCGTCCCGCGTGGAATCTGCGCGCATGAACTTGCTCGGGATAAGATGGACCACTTGATATTAAATTGTTTTCTGGTCCATCTTATCCCGAGCAAGTTCAATCAAAGCCGGTGGAAATAGTTGCAATTTATGTTTAGAAGAGAAATTGCAAATACTCCGTAGTTATAATTCACGGTCTAATTTAAATAAACGTAGCGAAATTTTCATGAAATGCGTGCATGCGCGCAGATTCCACGCGGGACGATTCAAACGAACACGCGTCAGCAAACATTGCGGGTAGTAAAACGCAACAACTTAACCGTATTAATATGTTGCCTGATGATTGCTTGTTGCATAAAACTTAAAGTAGTAACTTATTCAATTGAAAAATTGTATTAAAATATTAAATTATTATTATATGCTCTGCAATTGTATTGTATTGAGCACTCTTTATTCTTAAAAACGGGAAATTACTTTATGAAATTATATATATATATATATATATATATATATATATATATATATATATATATATATATATATATATATATATATATATATATATTGAGCGCTCTGGCATGGTTTTGATGTCCCACAATCGTGAGGCATCAAAGGTAACTATAAATAAGAGTTACTTTCATCCTGCTCATCAGCACTACACTGATGAGGCCCATTAGGCCGAAACGGTACCGTCTGTAGTTATATATATATATATATATATATATATGCAGTATATCTGTATATGAGTGCCCTGATTTCAATGCAAGCATTATATGTAACCCAATATTATAACATTTTGACTTTTATTCCTCAACAATTACTTGCTCAATTTTCAGCAAAGAGTTGTTTTGACCATTATAAGTCAGGAAACAAGATTAACGACATCTATCAAATCTATCCTGATGGCCACGGAAATTTTGCTGTAATGTGTGATATGTATGGTGGGGGATGGACAGTGTTTCAACATCGCTATGACGGATCCGTTGACTTCTACCTTGGATGGACGGAATACAAGGAAGGATTTGGTAATTTGTCTGGCGAATTCTGGCTTGGGTTGGAAAAGCTTCATCGCATTACAACCAGTGGAAGATACAAACTTCGAATCGACCTTGAAGATTTTGAAGGAAGTGAGAGATTTGCTGAATACGGGTCTTTTGAAGTTGGAAACGAACAAGATGGGTTTCGATTGAGTATTGGTGCATTTTCAGGTACCTATTCTTATTAATTAAACAGACTAACTTTAGGATAACCTGTGCCATGTAGTGCATATATAGGTAGTGCCAATAAAATTAACAAGCTTTCGTTTGTAGGGTTGCCACTACCTGAAAAATTTAAAGGAGAATAATTCTGTCTTTTCGAACGAAGGCTCTTCATCTCGAGTTACAATCCAAGTAACACAAGACGAAGGGCCTTTGCTCAAATTAAGCGTCAACATTCTCCTTTTGTTTTCCAGGTAGTTGCATCCCTACCAAGGAAAGCCTGTTAATAAATTCAGAATAGGATACAAGTGCATATAATAAAGAAGCCTTGTCTTATGGATCGATTAGATTCTAGTAAGCATACATAAAAAAATTCAGTAATACTATGTACTTATTGGTTACGTACTGTACTCACGCAGTTCCCCTGCTCAATTGAAGTATGCCTTATACGGAAGGGGGTCTGGAAAATTACAACTTACTGTACGTGTTTGCTCCAGATTTAACTTGCGACAAGTAATCATAATGGTGCTATAGTTCAAACAGCTGGAAGTGTTGTTCATGAAGCGTAAAACTTCGGTATGTAAGAAGAAATATCCCTCATATCTAATGGACTCCTCTTGTCTTGTAAACGATCCCTTCGTTCAAGTACGAGAGTTTAAAATACGACCCCAGGCGTTTATTATCAGTGACTTAGTGTATATAAGGAACCACGCTGTCCCGTTATCCCTGACTGGCGTGTCGAAATGTTGGATCGTCAATAGACTACTTAAGTTTATGTTACAAGAAGCGATTCTTGCTGCAGCTTGCAACGCTATTTCAGATAAGGATGTTGCATTGACAAACTAGGGGGGGGGGACTCTCTCTGTCGAAATAGTGTGGCCCATTTGGGAAAATTTTGATTGGTACAAAACATGTGTATTATATTGTCATTCGGTTTAGTGTAAATTCATTTTTGGTTTGATTTTAGACGTCTTGGATTGGTTTGTGATTAAAAAGAGTTGTTTTGTGTTAAATGATGATTGAAAATCGCAAAAACGTGTTGAAATAACTCACAAAAATACTGAAAATGGCGCTCTACTAACTCTATATCTAAAAAAAAATTCGTGTGACCATACCGCTGGCCCTGTATCGCTATAAAAGTTCATTGTATTATATTATGCATAGCTATGCATCGCTGTGCTTTTTATTACAGATTCCGGAACCATCGCATTTTAAAGATTATCTTGACTTTTGAGTCCATGACTGTATTTTTTTAATATTCTTTTATATTCAATATATCATATAGGATGTAGTCTGTCCAATTTGTCCAAAGTATAAATCTATTACGGCAAATTATATATTAGTACTAGAAAATACATGCATGCAGAAACCCTCGCCTTGCTGACAAAACCGTTGTATTTTCCGAACATGAAGTATCTAAAGTAGTTGTCATGGTAACACGATAATTTTTTAAGAATATTCTTACAAATGAAAATCGCCTAAAAATATCACATTACATAATTACAAAATTATCAATTTCCCAACATATATATATTAGGTATGTAATTATACGTAATACAAGCTTCAATTTAAGGTAAAATTCAACCACAAACAATTCACAAAACGTTTTAAAGTGTTCTTTATAAAACTAAACTGCCTTTAACTATTAAATGGCTTTATCGATAAACTTTGAGTTTGCAATAAAATGATTTCAAATTCTCGCTTGCAAATAACTTTGCTTTATTTTTTATTTAAAAAATTCAATATAATAAAAAGGGAATCAATATTAAAGATATACTGAAATAATATGCTGTCTTGTTTAGTTGTTTCATATACGCAAAGGCCGTCGGGTTTTAAAGCCATTATAAAATCAATATTTAAAACAAACTTACCTTCGTTAACGTCGGCTCCCTTCTTTTAGCTAATTCTTTCGCCCTTTCTTTCTTGAAATTTACAAAATCTTGCAGAAATACGAGCAAAAATGAAGAATATTTGCAAGAAATTTAATATCAACTCATCAAATCAAGAAATGTTTGCTATTTCGCTGTCGTCATGCAGTCGTTAAAAAGTCGTTATAATGCAAACTTTAAATTGGACCAATCAGTGTCCGTTATTCATGACAGTCCGCCATATTTTTGAGATCAGTGAGGATGACCCATTGAACTATAAATAAACTGGAAGGCTAACTCAGGGGGGGAAATTGAAGCCAGTGCATTTTAGTTTTTCTGAGTTATGAGCAGAAATGCTCAACACTGAACGTTGGGCTATATATCAAATTGAAGCTATTGAAAAACGCTATTTGGTGTAGAAATTTCAAGACTTTAGCTAAAAGGGAAATATTGAAAAACTACAAAAATAATTACCGATAATTTGCCGTTTTGCAGTTGTTTTTGTATTTTTTGAATATTTTTCTTTTCGCTGAAGTCTTGAAATTTCCACACCAAATAGCAATTTTCAATAGCTTCAATTTGATATATAGCCCGACGTTTGGGGTCAAGTATTTCTGCTCATAACTCAGAAAAACTATTTTGGCTTCATCAAATCATAGGCCTTCATCATAGCAGTTAGCCTTCCAGTTTATTTATAGTTCAATGGGATGACCACCCATCGTTGGTGACCGACGCCCGCGCTCATTGATGAACTTTAGACTTCGCTAAATGCTTTCGTTTCCCCGGGTGTAAATAGCCGGGGGGAATTAGTACCCTCGCACGGCGCTTCACGCCGCCGGCTCGGGGATAATTTATATAATAACTAACAGTGAAACAAGGAATTTGATTGGTCAATATAGCCGTGCAGGATCAGGTTATCCTGCAAGAGGAATTAAAATACCTTCGCGGGATTTTCGCGGGATTCTCAAAATGTCATTGTTTCACTGTAGTTATTTTATAAAACAATTACCAAATGGTTTTCCAAGCAGGATAGCGTGATCCATGCACTTGGTATGTTGCTCGACTTTCGGAAAGCGTAAAATACACTCGCATGAGGCTCGATTATTTTTACGCTTTCCGAAAGTCTCGCGACATCCCTCGCGCATGGATCACGCAATCTTGCATGGAAAACCACTCGGTATTCCTTTAGTACTGCATTTAACGATACGTCTCTTTCGAACTTTATGCTTTCAGAATCAGTTATGTTTATATACTGTAAATAGTATATTGCTATTTGGTGAAGCAATATTTTAGTATTTATTCAATTTACTTTGAGGAAGGTTTGAAAACCTTAAAATTTTACCCGGTGGAAATTTGAACAGGTTTCTATAACCCTTGGCATGTTTTTTCGGGCATAATTAAAATAGAAGTCCTATCTACGTCAGAGGGATCTTAAAACTAGTAGTATAAAAAATGTGAACGTAGCGCCACTCTGCCGATATTTTCATGGCATTTTCATTTTTCATCCCCTAACAATATGTCGGCAAAGAAAATTTCTGCAATGTAGAATACTGACGATGCTCAGAATTTTTCTGTGACTACTTTTTGGATAATATAGCTCTGAACTTACGTTGCGAGTTCTGGAAAAAATTGTCCCACCTAACACGTTCTTTAAACCAGGGTAGCAATGCAAATCATGATTGATCTTATACATCATTGACGTGAAGTAGCAAAACGTTTTAAACTGATAATGTGATATGTCCATCTCACAGGAGACGCCGGTGATTCTTTGACTCCTCATAATGGTACGCAGTTCACAACCAAAGACGTCGATCACGACCTCCACGAGAATAATTGTGCTCAGTTATACAAAGGGGCATGGTGGTACAACAACTGCCATGTATCCAATTTAAATGGTTTGTATCATTACGGTGGAAATCACACCTCTTATGCTGATGGTATAAATTGGTCGCAATGGAAAGGTTACCATTACTCGATGAAAACAGTGACGATGAAAATAAAAGAAATTTAATTTAGAGATTCGAGACACGCGACGAAATTTTTTTGCTTAACATTAATTTAGAACAATGTAGTTTTCTTTACGCTTGTAGACATCGAAGGATAATTTGGGCAATAAATTGGTGTAAATGATGCAAAATAACCATCATGTGATCCATAGGTGGCTGTGACATTGACAAATTATCGGTATTTAGTCTCTCTATATTTCAACAAAAGAAATTCTTTCAGAAATTCTTTCTTAATCCTGAATACGAACTTTTCATCTTCAAGTAGTAATTTTCAATATTTCGAATGTATTGCGGTTGACTGGTAAGTTATTCAAATTTTATTCATTTATCTGTTGGAAACTTTCTGGATCTCTATATGTGTCTTAAAACATTATGTGTATTTTATAATCGAATATCGGTTAACAGCTGAAATACTATTTAATATTTTTCATGTGATTTTAATTACACCCGTTTTCAAAATTACGCGCCCATGCCAAAAATAGCTGGAGTTACATGCCAATTTATGTCACATTCATACGGTCACGAACTTCAAACTATTCACAATTTTGAGTTTTGCGGTTCATTATCGATGTATATGTTTGTATGCTATATATAAAAAGTTAAGATTGATTTTCAAGACCTTCGTGTGATAATTATTTAAGCACAGCGAAATCATAACATTCCCGCTATATATATTTAAAATATACTCGTGCATCAATAATTCATAAACCTTGTGGCAAATCATGTCAGCCATAATGTCTAATGTCACTTTGAGTGATTTTATATCTGATAAAACTTATCCTAATTAGTGCGATTATATAATTGTTCATCCTATAGCTAATTAGTATGATTATATAATTGTTCATCCTAATTAGTATTCTTTTGTAGTCGGATTTTAAGCTACTCAAAACACTCGAACTCGTGTTTTATCATAAATAAAACGCTCGGCTGCGCCTCGCGTTTTAAATATGATAAAACATTCCTTCTCGAGTTTTAAATACTATACATATAATATAGTCTAGCGCAACATTAAATTCGAGGTAAATTGGGTTTTTTTCAAACTTTGAAAGTCATTCACCCCATAGATTTCTGTTATGATGACTTTTTATTCCTTTTTGTTTGTATATTTAATAGCTCATTTTGATTCAATATTCTTCTTTAGATTTTAAATAGGATTAAAAATTACTCTTGTTTACGTTTGCTATTTTTAACAGTTCGTGTGACATATAACTGACATTTGTACAATGATTATTTGCGAGAAGGTCGCGTAATTTTGAAAACTGGTGTAAAGAGTTATGCAGTCCGTAATAGGCCTACTTTGGGGGCCAAAGTCGCCGTTATTATGTGCAACATTGTGCGACATTAGGCGACATTGGCAATTTTCAAAGTAAAGTAGTGTGCGAAACTGGGCGACATTGGGCGACATTGGACAAAACTGAGCAGCAATATTCAGATAATATCAAATATTATAATTCACAAATTATGCATCCACATAAAAAATACAACAGCAAATATCAAAATATAATTTAGTTATCAAAAATTGGTTCCTGTGGCAAAGAACACAATTAGTTTATTACAAATAGTTTGCAAAAATATGAACAAGGAACATTTCTCTAACTGCTAGCCTGACAATTTACTCAAAGTTTATACCGTAGTACACATACATGCCCAGTGCATGGTACATTTACAGTATCATGGAACTCTGACCTCTTATTAAATTGACTGGTGTAAACACCTCATAGAGTTTTAAAACCTGTTTATGGACTGTGGTATGCAGTGATGGAAGTGGGCAAGGTGCTAATAAATTTGCTCGCTTAAATGTAAGCCAATAAGCTTGTGTTTTAACCAATCATATTAACTTTAAACGTTAGTTGAGAGGCTTTCAACAGTTGCAAACTTTTTATTAGTATAGTTTTCTTGTAGTTACAGTATAAATTATAAAGTTAATATGTTCAAGTGTACTGTGTACGTACATTACTACATCGTGGTGTTTGGTATTGGGTTTTTTATTAGTAAGTAATTCACAAAATAACGATGAAAGTACCTTGTTTGATGTATTTCCAGCAAGAATCAGATATAAATTAATAAATAGAAACAAGAATTGAATTCACAAAAGTTTATATTCGTGTATTCGTTAATACAAAAAAATGCTTAAAAGAAATGGCGGCTGGGATTTGAGCCCGCAATACCACGGCACGTCTAATTTAATGGTTTAACTTCTAACTTGTACTACTTCGTGTAAAGAAACATAATAATTGATTATGGCGGGCCTTGGCGACATTTTATAATAACCTGTACCGTAGATCTTTCTGTGGTGCATTCATTGCTCTGTATCTTTTGCGATGACACCTAATTATGAAATGTCGATCATCGTAGCTTCGTCGAAAAGTAAGTAATTTTATTTTACAAACTACAAAGTCGTATTTTGAACATACTATAGATGACTTTCTTTATTTATAGTCTATATATGTACTATTTAAAACACGAGTAGGAGTGTTTTATCAGATATAAAATGCGAGGCGCAGTCGAGCGTTTTATATATGATAAAACACGACAACGAGTGTTTTGAATAGCTTAAAATACGACTACAAAAGAATACTAATTAGGATGAACCATTATATAATAATGCTAATTAGGATGAACAATTATACAATGCCACATGTGTTTTATGAGATATAAAGTCACTCCATGTGACATATTATGGCTGACATGATTTGCCACAAGGTTTATGAATTATTAATGAGTATTTTAAATAGTACATATATAACTACAGACGGTACTGTTTCGGCCTTTAGGATACCTAGTGTACTTCACTAGGCTAGTGAGAGGTATTTTGTACTTTAGTACTCGCCAGTTATCATGAATGTATCTTTGATAATAAGATCTAAGTTTGATTTCATATACAACATTTAATGGCGTGTGATTGTCTAATTTGACTGAGTTTCACAAAGAAACACATTTGAGAAGATAGCCAGAAGGCTGCCTTAACAACATAATTTAAGTAATTCTCATTGGAATGATGCGTTGTAATTCCATATACATATAAACCCCAAATAACCAAGCCTCATTAGTACTGGTGAGAGATGGTTCCCTAACAGCACATGCCCTTGGTGTTTGTGTACATGCATGTATTTATAAAAAAAAACATGCAGGAAACTAACAAATAAATAAGGAATAGACTAGAATGGACGACAAACTCAAACTGAAAAATTGGGCATGCTTGTGCGAGATTATGCGACATTAGGCGAAATTAAGCGACATTAAGCGAATAGACTGTGAGGCAAAGTTCAAAAATTGGGTGCACATGGGCGAAATTAGGCGACATTAGGCGACCTTGGCCCCCAAAGTAGGCCTCGTAATGAGAATTGCAGTAAGCATTTAAGCATTCAACTAACTGTCACAGTAACATACGGAACACACCCAAACATTCACCGATTAATGATATACTGTATGTATATATGCAGTCATTCCTCAATAGTCTCCATGCACAGAAAATATGTTCGAAATACAAATAAATATCCAGCGTATGGCTGGTTCATATTGTAGGGTAATATGATGTTTAAATGTGACATTTATCATTTATAGATCTGGAGCGAGGGGGATTCGGAAAAATATTACCCGAAGTGATAAAATATCGTTACTGACTGTAATATTTCGCCAAATCCCCCGAGCCCAGGTTCTACAAATAATATATTACACCAAAAATAAAAACCCTCCATGTCGAGCACACACCTTCGTTAATACGATGTTTTATTTTTGAATCAACGCAAGCATCGCCGTCGCTTTTCATTCAAATCGAATACCGTTAGGAATATTGTAGGCCGTTTGCTGTGACCTCGGAAAGTGCCTATAGAAAACGATTTTCCCATGCTTGGGAACTGAAATATTTTTAAAGGAACTAACACTTTCGAACACGTGGAGTTCAAATCCGAGAAGTTCCAGCTCTATAGACCTGCAGTTTTCTCACAAACTGCAATTTTATCTTCACTAATTTCACGACAAATTTTTTCATTGTTCAACGACATGGATCGATGACGACAATTACGATTATGTCACTGAAAAGGACTAATTTCTGTTAACCAGCAAGCTGCTCCATTTACTGCTCGGAGTACTCCGGATTTTTGGAACACTAATGGAATGGAACAGAAAACAGTCACATGACTGTTCTGAACTGTTCTGACAACCCCGATTTTCGAGTAGATTTTCACGTCATCGGAAATGGAGGCGACAGATTTAATTTGTGTATCCAATGCACACTGCATAAAGCGTTATTTTGAAGGGTTAACCGCAATATATCGACATATACTTATTATATGCTATTTCAGCGCCAGGTTTGGGCAAAATCAACGAGTAAAAACGTTGCAAAAGCATACTTAGATACACATATAATGACATAGTGAATAACTAATGACATAGTAAAGCATGGTTGCACGCATACATAATAAACTAAACAATGTTCCAGAACACCGTGTGCACTCCATTTTATATCGTTCCCGAACAGTGTTCCAAATGTTCTAGAATAGTAAATGGAGCCGCCTGCAGTCTACCTTTTAACAAAAGACCGGTTTTGCTCGAATCATTTTGAGTTCTGTAATATTATGCGTGTTGAACGTAAACAACATATCTTATCCACAACTTTGGGAAGATACAGATAAAGCTTTCTAAAATCCTCATTTCTGGCTCTATCTCTATGAAATTACAAGGACGTTAATGCTAATACATCTTTTGGCTATGTTTCTGGGCTGATAAATAATTCCTTACATGCGACCAAAATGTTTTATACAACGATGTATAACGGTAATGTTATGTAATGGGTCAGCCGTCAGCATTTAAATTTCCAACACAGTTTTTGAGACGTAATACGCCTTTTCTAGGTTCGCGACGCCATCTTACCAAATGGGCAAACACAATAGTGAAAACAATGGAATTCCTAGTAATTCCCTATAGGTAAATTTGCAAGTGGGGGAAGCTCAATAGCGACTTTCAAGATGGCGTCGCGAACCCAGAACAGGCGTATACAAGAGATAAATTATCATTGCATTCGAACTATTATATCAGTTGGTGTTATTCTGTGCGATTAGCGAGTATTATTGGAAAGAGGGCATTCATATACGATAACCCTGAGTACAACCATCTTTATATAATCAAAAAGGTATGAAAAATACGAATATTATTCGGTAGTGCTGTACTGCATGTAGTTATAAAAGGTTGCTTGAGTGTTATAAACACGTTCTAAAGCTAAGTGAAATATTCTATTTAGTCCATTTTCGAACAAATATTCAATAAAACTGCATTTTCCGCACGAAATTTCACTAAAACGTTGATAAAAATTAAAATACAGTTGGGTTTTAGCAAGCAATTTATTTGTAAAGGAAATATCTTAAAAAATCTGTTAATTTAAGCAACAAATGGCGATAACATGAAGAATGAAACCCTGGACAGATAATATGAAATTTTGAGAAAATTGAATGAACTTGATCTCAAGGATAATGCCAATGCTGGAATTAAATGATTAACGCATATTTATCCAAACTGGCTAAGACAAGTTCATCACGATACTTACAATGTGGCAACACAAGCAAAATCGTTACTAAAATCCAGATATATTATTCCTTTTTGCAAATTATGAATGTTTCGAGTTGGCACTGCAATTGCAACGCCAAATTGTTACAAATTCTGCATGAAAGCTTTGAGTCGCAGCGCCAAATTGTTAGATATTCTACAGCCAACCTTTGAGTTTGGCTCTGCAAATGCAGCGCCAACTTGTTAGATATTCTGCAGCCAACCTTTGAGTTTGGCTCTGCAAATGCAGCGCCAACTTGTTAGATATTCTGCAGCCAATCTTTGAGTTTGGCTCTGCAAATGCAGCACCAACTTGTTGACATTCTGCAGCCAACCTTTGAGTTTGGCTCTGCAAATGCAGCACCAACTTGTTAGATATTCTGCAGCCAACCTTTGAGTTTGGCTCTGCAAATGCAGCGCCAACTTGTTAGATATTCTGCAGCCAACCTTTGAGTTTGGCTCTGCAAATGCAGCACCAACTTGTTAGATATACTGCAGCCAACCTTTGAGTTTGGCTATGCAAATGCAGCACCAACTTGTTAGATATTCTGCAGCCAACCTTTGAGTTTGGCTCTGCAAATGCAGCGCCAACTTGTTAGATATTCTGTAGCCAATCTTTGAGTTTGGCTCTGCAAATGCAGCACCTACTTGTTAGAAATTCTGCATGTAAGCTTTCAGTTTGGCACTGCAGTCGCAGCGCCAAGTTGGCACAAATTCTGCACAAGATCAACGCATATAAAACAATCGTTTTTTGTAGAATTTAGTAACACATAATTTTTTCTGGAAAAATACTGGTTAAATATATCCGATTAGCATTATAAAATGCATTTTTAAAAATTTGTGGACAATATTTGAAATAAAGGTACAATTTTGCAGGATTTTCTTTAAATAGAATATTTCACTTAGCTTTAGAACGTGTTTATAACAGTGTTAGGTATTAGTTATAGCTATAGTGAACATGTTATTCATTTATTTATACATCATGCATGCAGAAAATGTCGTGATGAAACATATAGGCAGTTACGTGCTTCTCGTTTAAATTAAGCTCAAACCGCTTGTTTATTTTCTGCGCAAGTTGGGTTCTCCGTGCAGGGTTGTGTTTACTAGGTGACCTCTTTTAGTGTTTATACTACCCGTATAGAGCTGATCCTAGGAGAAAAAAGATTCCTTTAGTGAATTGATAAGTGGTGTATGGCAAATTTTTTTGATTTTCGAAAAAGTTTTTCAGTCAAGATTGCATGTCAATCATTCAAAGGGAACCCGAATTAAATAATTTTTGCATCGTTAGACATTGAATAGATATGCTGCAGCAGTTCATTGCTACTCCTTTCAAATGAAAATGATTTTAATTTTTAAGCCGAGATTAACTAGCCCTCCCTTTAAATAGTGTGCATTTAGTGTTAGTGGTTTTCCTTTTAATTTGTGAATACATGCAAAGAGTAAATTACTTTGTGTAAGACAGCATTTGCTAGCTGAGGGAGAAATATAGTGCGCTAAAATAAAGTGAAGCGATTAATTTAATTTTTTTTTCTACATTTTGAACAATCCGTGTAAAATTTTGAAAATTTTCCAGACTCTATAAGTTGTTTGAATGGTTTAGTATTTCGGAGAACTCAATGATTTTCAACAATTTGCAGACTATATAGCTTGTTAACTCGATAGCTGTTAATTGTCTGTAGCAGAGCAAATTATAGCACTGTGTGCAGAACACGGGCTATAGTTCGCCTGCCTTAGAATGATGGAATTATGAATTTTTGAGCGTTAATTTTCGTCTCGCAAAAACAGAACCAAGCGAATGCATGCTTGATTAAGCAAGTCATCTTTCCCAGAAAGGTACAATATTACTTAAGCGCTGCGCGCACAAGATTCTCGAGAGGAATGCTAAGAAGAAATACTGTTGTCGTTCGGGATTTTGAGTGTTTAACTCGCGAATAAGATTTGCAGTCCCCCCCCCAATACAGTGTTTTTCTACGCACTATCCATTGCCTTGACCATATCTGCCGATGATAATGTCATAAATGCTTACAACGACGTCGCTGCACACGCGACATAGAAAGTTTTCAGAATCTTTTGCCATATAAGTCAATCAGTATTCGTTTTCTGGTGTCGCAGATACGCATGGACGTTTCTGAATTATTGTAAACTTGCATGCATGCTCCTTCAGTTTTAGCGCGCGCACACAGGAGATAGTCGTTCACGGTAAAAATTGGTCAACATCTTGAATATTTGTGACACGAGTCAGCAGTGACAAAAAGCTTGAAAACGTTCTCCGCACATTAGAGCTTCCTGCTTAAGCAGGCTGCCACGAATGACATTTTGCTAAGGAGAAAGCTCTACGGTGGGCAGAGCTTTAGCGAATCATGTCACTGGGACAATTCAGTCCGACAATTGGTTACTGCGTTTCCTTCCAACACCTTGTCCACATAGTAGTTGGTAAAAGGATCTCATTATAATTAGCATATTATAAGGAAACAATGGCTTCCTGCTGTAAAGCTTTCCAAAATGAGCGCCTACGGACACAAGTTTTTATAATATGGTAAATAAATAAAAAAAATTGTTATTGTTATGGTTGGTCTTCGCTGGTAATAAAAGCTTTCCAAAGTGAAAGACTATCAGAGGTGTAAAATACCCTATGGACACAAGTTTTACAATATGGTAAATAATAAAAATTGTTATGGTTCCTTTACTGGTAATAAATAAATAAACGTTGGGTTCCGGGGAAGAAGTATTCCAATATGTCAACTTCATTTCCCATAGACTCTAGTAACGTCACATACAGGGGCGTAGCGAAGGCTATGTGCATGGGG